TCCCAAATTTGTCTTTCTTAGATTTATCTTCTGATCTACATCACCAATCCTCCCCTTTCCAAATCACCTACATGATTTTCTTCTCCTCCTTCTTTGGCTCAGGCCCCTCTCTTTTCTCCCACGCCTCCCAAAATCATCTCATGGAAATAGAAAAAAATCACAAGGAGTCAGTGGGCAATGGCATGCTAGTTCAGGGAGGAACCTTCCAGGTTCCAAGACAAGATGTGTGTGTGTGTGTGTGTGTGTGTGTGTGTGTGTGTGTGTGTGTGTGAGAGAGAGAGAGAGAGAGAGAGATTTGGCAACTGTGAGAGGTGGTTGCAAAAGCTCAAATGGAGCATTGAGAATCAATGAAATAAACACTTGTTGAGTACCACAGGCTTCATAAGGAGCTGAGGCCCAAAGACATGGATGGATGTGCTTAAAGAAACAACAAACAAGTTATCAAGCTGAGGTTTGAACTCAAGTCCTCTGATTTCAAGCCCAGTGTTCTTTCTCCTCCTTCCCAAATCCAATACTGTGTTCCCTATATATATGGGGTAGGGGGCAGAGGGGAAGAGTGATATAAAAGATATTTCCTTTTTTACAGTGGCAGAGTATAAGTGATAAGGCCAACTGAAGTGCCCTAAGGTCTCAGAAGAGGATGAGATTGCCTTGGGTTGGAGGAGTCCAGGGAAGGCTTCATGGAGAAGATGGAAATTTGAGCTGGATCTTTAAATGTAAATTATATGTAACAGTGACTTCCCTAGTCTCCTGTATCTGAAGACTAGATCTGCTATATTTTGTTCCTCCCTCAGAGCTTTCCAGTATCCTTAAGAGGGTTTAAGGTCAGTTTTTGCTACTTGCCCAAGCCCCTACTAATCCCGTTCCCACAATTCTAGAGATCCCCTGTACTGCAGTTCCATTGGGACCATTTAACTGTTGGATTAGTTTTCACAAAGGAATATCTACTTCAAAGGTATAGCAAGAACAAAAATGCAAACATCACACACACACACACACACACACACACACACACACACACACACACAC